CCCATTGTCCGGTTGGCAATAGGTACGCGAATGAGCATGAACGACGTGTCGAGGGGTGTTGTCAAAGAAAAACAAAGGTAAGAACCACTTTGGCAACAAATTCGACAAGGTCATCAGCGATTCTTATACGAGTCTACGCAACGGTCACTAAAGTTCCAATAGCATGTGAAGCTATAAACATATCATTCAGGTTCCTAGGCATCAAACTTCGCCAATGTTACTTACGGTGTGTTTGTGAGGAGGGGAAAAGAGAATATACGCAAAAAAGGGTGAGTCATCAGCGTATGATTAGTTGAGTGTTAATTATTTTATACCTTAAAAATTGATTAGTAGGATTTTTTAACCAACTTTTGTACCGAATTGTCTTGCGAAAAACACACCGTTTAGCAGTTCGAGAAGCGTGCGCGCGGCGAACGAGGGATTTTTTTTCTCCGGATGCCAAAAACGCAGCCTTAGAGCGTATATAGCAAAGGAGAAGTAAATGTCGAGGACATCGATGGTGAATATGCCACGTTACTCGCTAAGGGTTACGACGAAGCAGTCGTATTTGAGATAGGAAGTGCTTTGCACTTGGACGGCGCCGGGTATGATGCTCTTGTTCTAGTTTTAGCCGCTCATATGGTACTTATGGCGGAAAAAAAGACATGGCGGGTTGTCGTAAGTCCTAGAAAGAATTCGGATGAAAAATTCATGCCCGTTTTACTGAAGGGCACGCCGAATAGGGAGCTACGTACATAAATATTTCTTTGGCTAACTCTTTGAATAGGTCCAGCGGCTGAAACAAGGAGGCTAGCGCAGTTGTGCTTTTGATTCAAGGCGGTTTGCAACCTATCTAAATGCAAGATGCCTAGGAAGCGGGATATTTGACATGGAGGTTTTGGGCAAACCGAAAGATCTCGTCACAAGTCCTATGGTTATTTTACATGGAATCTCGGCAAATAACAGCCGCCCAACAACAGTCTTATATGTGTGCATATATCGAAGCGTTGATGCACGCAAGCTGGTCCGGTTTATGTTATTTCTTACATAAGATATTTTTACTCCATACTTTTGTTTAAAGAATCATTCAAAGGATTTCATGGAAAAAAAAAAGTTCCGCCAAGTGCCAAGGATCGACATTTTGAACTAGAAATGTTAGATGGCACCGGATTATTTTTTTTCCACCTGGTGCTCTTACAAATGGAGAGAATGGAATGAGTAGAATTGATTGCACGACATTTATTACATAAATAACCGTTGATACTCGGTACGTGTCCGGTCGTCTACCAATGTCGGCGGTGTAGCAGTAGACCTTTATTGAAGGTTGGCGTGTGGCTCATGATGCGATTACCTCCATAGCAGCCACTTTGAAGGATTCATCCATCAACTTAAACTTGTCAGCTGGGGCGGCATCGAGGACAGCTTTAGCTGCTTTCTTGTAGGCAAGTGAAGTTGCAGCAACTTTCTTCTCATCTCCTTGGGCCATCCCGAGAGCAGCAAAGGCGAACATTCTCCGCTTCCACGTGGCAGCTTCAACTTCATCCTTTTTTGCTGGTGGGGCAGCAGCCACAACGGAGTCGGCGGCCTCGTTGATGGCCTGAGTTGCCTCATCCAAGCGCTTATCGACAGGGGCGAGGAGGGCCTTGTTGAAGCTCTTCTCGACGGGGGCGTCGCATTCCACTTGCACTAACACGGCCGATGCCGCGATGGCTGCAAGGAGTAGGGCGACGGCTTTGGCCATTGCTAATGAACTGGACAGGGATCTTTCAATGTTGGAAGATGTTGCTACTGCGCGCGGATTTGCTGTGTGAGTTTGTAGGGATCATCGGGGCTTTAAATAGGGAAACACGTACCATGATAACCTAAGGCCAAGAGAGCTTCATGGTCCAAAATTGATTGGTTGCATGCATGTGTGCCAAGTGTTCGGTCCGTAGTGCATGCTATCCTTTGTCTTGACTGAGCCTGCAAGATCCAAATCTGGACTTCCACAACCCCGATATGAAATTTATATGTACGCAAGATGTTAAGGGCAGAAAACCCATTGTCCGGTTGGCAATAGGTACGCGAATGAGCATGAACGACGTGTCGAGGGGTGTTGTCAAAGAAAAACAAAGGTAAGAACCACTTTGGCAACAAATTCGACAAGGTCATCAGCGATTCTTATACGAGTCTACGCAACGGTCACTAAAGTTCCAATAGCATGTGAAGCTATAAACATATCATTCAGGTTCCTAGGCATCAAACTTCGCCAATGTTACTTACGGTGTGTTTGTGAGGAGGGGAAAAGAGAATATACGCAAAAAAGGGTGAGTCATCAGCGTATGATTAGTTGAGTGTTAATTATTTTATACCTTAAAAATTGATTAGTAGGATTTTTTAACCAACTTTTGTACCGAATTGTCTTGCGAAAAACACACCGTTTAGCAGTTCGAGAAGCGTGCGCGCGGCGAACGAGGGATTTTTTTTCTCCGGATGCCAAAAACGCAGCCTTAGAGCGTATATAGCAAAGGAGAAGTAAATGTCGAGGACATCGATGGTGAATATGCCACGTTACTCGCTAAGGGTTACGACGAAGCAGTCGTATTTGAGATAGGAAGTGCTTTTCACTTGGACGGCGCCGGGTATGATGCTCTTGTTCTAGTTTTAGCCGCTCATATGGTACTTATGGCGGAAAAAAAGACATGGCGGGTTGTCGTAAGTCCTAGAAAGAATTCGGATGAAAAATTCATGCCCGTTTTACTGAAGGGCACGCCGAATAGGGAGCTACGTACATAAATATTTCTTTGGCTAACTCTTTGAATAGGTCCAGCGGCTGAAACAAGGAGGCTAGCGCAGTTGTGCTTTTGATTCAAGGCGGTTTGCAACCTATCTAAATGCAAGATGCCTAGGAAGCGGGATATTTGACATGGAGGTTTTGGGCAAACCGAAAGATCTCGTCACAAGTCCTATGGTTATTTTACATGGAATCTCGGCAAATAACAGCCGCCCAACAACAGTCTTATATGTGTGCATATATCGAAGCGTTGATGCACGCAAGCTGGTCCGGTTTATGTTATTTCTTACATGATATTTTTACTCCATACTTTTGTTTAAAGAATCATTCAAAGGATTTCATGGAAAAAAAAAAGTTCCGCCAAGTGCCAAGGATCGACATTTTGAACTAGAAATGTTAGATGGCACCGGATTATTTTTTTTCCACCTGGTGCTCTTACAAATGGAGAGAATGGAATGAGTAGAATTGATTGCACGACATTTATTACATAAATAACCGTTGATACTCGGTACGTGTCCGGTCGTCTACCAATGTCGGCGGTGTAGCAGTAGACCTTTATTGAAGGTTGGCGTGTGGCTCATGATGCGATTACCTCCATAGCAGCCACTTTGAAGGATTCATCCATCAACTTAAACTTGTCAGCTGGGGCGGCATCGAGGACAGCTTTAGCTGCTTTCTTGTAGGCAAGTGAAGTTGCAGCAACTTTCTTCTCATCTCCTTGGGCCATCCCGAGAGCAGCAAAGGCGAACATTCTCCGCTTCCACGTGGCAGCTTCAACTTCATCCTTTTTTGCTGGTGGGGCAGCAGCCACAACGGAGTCGGCGGCCTCGTTGATGGCCTGAGTTGCCTCATCCAAGCGCTTATCGACAGGGGCGAGGAGGGCCTTGTTGAAGCTCTTCTCGACGGGGGCGTCGCATTCCACTTGCACTAACACGGCCGATGCCGCGATGGCTGCAAGGAGTAGGGCGACGGCTTTGGCCATTGCTAATGAACTGGACAGGGATCTTTCAATGTTGGAAGATGTTGCTACTGCGCGCGGATTTGCTGTGTGAGTTTGTAGGGATCATCGGGGCTTTAAATAGGGAAACACGTACCATGATAACCTAAGGCCAAGAGAGCTTCATGGTCCAAAATTGATTGGTTGCATGCATGTGTGCCAAGTGTTCGGTCCGTAGTGCATGCTATCCTTTGTCTTGACTGAGCCTGCAAGATCCAAATCTGGACTTCCACAACCCCGATATGAAATTTATATGTACGCAAGATGTTAAGGGCAGAAAACCCATTGTCCGGTTGGCAATAGGTACGCGAATGAGCATGAACGACGTGTCGAGGGGTGTTGTCAAAGAAAAACAAAGGTAAGAACCACTTTGGCAACAAATTCGACAAGGTCATCAGCGATTCTTATACGAGTCTACGCAACGGTCACTAAAGTTCCAATAGCATGTGAAGCTATAAACATATCATTCAGGTTCCTAGGCATCAAACTTCGCCAATGTTACTTACGGTGTGTTTGTGAGGAGGGGAAAAGAGAATATACGCAAAAAAGGGTGAGTCATCAGCGTATGATTAGTTGAGTGTTAATTATTTTATACCTTAAAAATTGATTAGTAGGATTTTTTAACCAACTTTTGTACCGAATTGTCTTGCGAAAAACACACCGTTTAGCAGTTCGAGAAGCGTGCGCGCGGCGAACGAGGGATTTTTTTTCTCCGGATGCCAAAAACGCAGCCTTAGAGCGTATATAGCAAAGGAGAAGTAAATGTCGAGGACATCGATGGTGAATATGCCACGTTACTCGCTAAGGGTTACGACGAAGCAGTCGTATTTGAGATAGGAAGTGCTTTTCACTTGGACGGCGCCGGGTATGATGCTCTTGTTCTAGTTTTAGCCGCTCATATGGTACTTATGGCGGAAAAAAAGACATGGCGGGTTGTCGTAAGTCCTAGAAAGAATTCGGATGAAAAATTCATGCCCGTTTTACTGAAGGGCACGCCGAATAGGGAGCTACGTACATAAATATTTCTTTGGCTAACTCTTTGAATAGGTCCAGCGGCTGAAACAAGGAGGCTAGCGCAGTTGTGCTTTTGATTCAAGGCGGTTTGCAACCTATCTAAATGCAAGATGCCTAGGAAGCGGGATATTTGACATGGAGGTTTTGGGCAAACCGAAAGATCTCGTCACAAGTCCTATGGTTATTTTACATGGAATCTCGGCAAATAACAGCCGCCCAACAACAGTCTTATATGTGTGCATATATCGAAGCGTTGATGCACGCAAGCTGGTCCGGTTTATGTTATTTCTTACATAAGATATTTTTACTCCATACTTTTGTTTAAAGAATCATTCAAAGGATTTCATGGAAAAAAAAAAGTTCCGCCAAGTGCCAAGGATCGACATTTTGAACTAGAAATGTTAGATGGCACCGGATTATTTTTTTTCCACCTGGTGCTCTTACAAATGGAGAGAATGGAATGAGTAGAATTGATTGCACGACATTTATTACATAAATAACCGTTGATACTCGGTACGTGTCCGGTCGTCTACCAATGTCGGCGGTGTAGCAGTAGACCTTTATTGAAGGTTGGCGTGTGGCTCATGATGCGATTACCTCCATAGCAGCCACTTTGAAGGATTCATCCATCAACTTAAACTTGTCAGCTGGGGCGGCATCGAGGACAGCTTTAGCTGCTTTCTTGTAGGCAAGTGAAGTTGCAGCAACTTTCTTCTCATCTCCTTGGGCCATCCCGAGAGCAGCAAAGGCGAACATTCTCCGCTTCCACGTGGCAGCTTCAACTTCATCCTTTTTTGCTGGTGGGGCAGCAGCCACAACGGAGTCGGCGGCCTCGTTGATGGCCTGAGTTGCCTCATCCAAGCGCTTATCGACAGGGGCGAGGAGGGCCTTGTTGAAGCTCTTCTCGACGGGGGCGTCGCATTCCACTTGCACTAACACGGCCGATGCCGCGATGGCTGCAAGGAGTAGGGCGACGGCTTTGGCCATTGCTAATGAACTGGACAGGGATCTTTCAATGTTGGAAGATGTTGCTACTGCGCGCGGATTTGCTGTGTGAGTTTGTAGGGATCATCGGGGCTTTAAATAGGGAAACACGTACCATGATAACCTAAGGCCAAGAGAGCTTCATGGTCCAAAATTGATTGGTTGCATGCATGTGTGCCAAGTGTTCGGTCCGTAGTGCATGCTATCCTTTGTCTTGACTGAGCCTGCAAGATCCAAATCTGGACTTCCACAACCCCGATATGAAATTTATATGTACGCAAGATGTTAAGGGCAGAAAACCCATTGTCCGGTTGGCAATAGGTACGCGAATGAGCATGAACGACGTGTCGAGGGGTGTTGTCAAAGAAAAACAAAGGTAAGAACCACTTTGGCAACAAATTCGACAAGGTCATCAGCGATTCTTATACGAGTCTACGCAACGGTCACTAAAGTTCCAATAGCATGTGAAGCTATAAACATATCATTCAGGTTCCTAGGCATCAAACTTCGCCAATGTTACTTACGGTGTGTTTGTGAGGAGGGGAAAAGAGAATATACGCAAAAAAGGGTGAGTCATCAGCGTATGATTAGTTGAGTGTTAATTATTTTATACCTTAAAAATTGATTAGTAGGATTTTTTAACCAACTTTTGTACCGAATTGTCTTGCGAAAAACACACCGTTTAGCAGTTCGAGAAGCGTGCGCGCGGCGAACGAGGGATTTTTTTTCTCCGGATGCCAAAAACGCAGCCTTAGAGCGTATATAGCAAAGGAGAAGTAAATGTCGAGGACATCGATGGTGAATATGCCACGTTACTCGCTAAGGGTTACGACGAAGCAGTCGTATTTGAGATAGGAAGTGCTTTTCACTTGGACGGCGCCGGGTATGATGCTCTTGTTCTAGTTTTAGCCGCTCATATGGTACTTATGGCGGAAAAAAAGACATGGCGGGTTGTCGTAAGTCCTAGAAAGAATTCGGATGAAAAATTCATGCCCGTTTTACTGAAGGGCACGCCGAATAGGGAGCTACGTACATAAATATTTCTTTGGCTAACTCTTTGAATAGGTCCAGCGGCTGAAACAAGGAGGCTAGCGCAGTTGTGCTTTTGATTCAAGGCGGTTTGCAACCTATCTAAATGCAAGATGCCTAGGAAGCGGGATATTTGACATGGAGGTTTTGGGCAAACCGAAAGATCTCGTCACAAGTCCTATGGTTATTTTACATGGAATCTCGGCAAATAACAGCCGCCCAACAACAGTCTTATATTTTTTTTCCACCTGGTGCTCTTACAAATGGAGAGAATGGAATGAGTAGAATTGATTGCACGACATTTATTACATAAATAACCGTTGATACTCGGTACGTGTCTGGTCGTCTACCAATGTCGGCGGTGTAGCAGTAGACCTTTAATGAAGGTTGGCGTGTGGCTCATGATGCGATTACCTCCATAGCAGCCACTTTGAAGGATTCATCCATCAACTTAAACTTGTCAGCTGGGGCGGCATCGAGGACAGCTTTAGCTGCTTTCTTGTAGGCAAGTGAAGTTGCAGCAACTTTCTTCTCATCTCCTTGGGCCATCCCGAGAGCAGTTATGGCGAACATTCTCCGCTTCCACGTGGCAGCTTCAACTTCATCCTTTTTTGCTGGTGGGGCAGCAGCCACAACGGAGTCGGCGGCCTCGTTGATGGCCTGAGCTGCCTCATCCAAGCGCTTATCGACAGTGGCGAGGAGGGCCTTTGTCGAAACATGATTTCGGCAATAATAAAAAGGGGTAGCGCACGAGACCTAAAAGTGGATGGATGCAGAGACAAAGGATTTAGACAGGTTCAGGCCCTCTCAATAAGAGGTAATACCCTACTCCTGTTTGGGGATTTGAATCCGCCGGGTGTGTATTGATCTGACGATCAGGTTGTGTCATCTGCCCCCTAGAGGGCCTCCTGCCCACCTTATATAGGATGGGGGGCAGGATTACAAGATAGAAACCTTAACCAATACGGTATCGGTTTCCTAAATCTACTTTACAATATTATCAAACCAGGACTTTAGGCCGTTCCGTAATATACAAGGAAACGTAACACCCAAGTCATGATCTGTTACATATTACATAAATATAAGTTATCCCCTATAACTAGTCGGATAACCATGCCGTGTGGGTATGGGATACCCATAATCTCCACAGTAGCCCCTGAGACCTTCACAGTCGGAAAGATAATCTTCTCTCGAACTAGATTACTCCAAAGCCGAGTGCTTCAATCATCTTCGCCATGATCTCCCGAGTACTTTTTCCAAATCAGAAGACTGTGGAGGGCTGAAAAAATAAAGTCAGATGCATCGAATAGATGCACCTGATAGGTGTAACCCCCGACTATGTGGTTAGCTGAACAAACCAAACATATAGTCAAGGAATAAGTTATCCAATTAACCGGGTGGTTTTTGATAATTATAGTCAACCAAGTGACTTGATACCAATATATAGTATATGCGGTGTGAATCCCCGAATAATATGATCCAAGTGATATACCGACTGCTTGGCAAAATATGATGCGTACAACCTAAAGTTGACAACATCTTTGAAAGTTCACATAGCAAAACAACTATAAAGAAGCTTGAATGCTGTGAATAAAGAAATTTCCAAAGTATTGGGCATACGCCATGCGCACAATGCTTTAACAGATGTGCTTAAGTCCCTAAAAGACACATGGTTTCACCACACCTGGAAATATATGGCATATGTGGTGTAAAATCCGAGTAAGTAAACTCATAAAGGATTTACCAACCGCCTGAAAAATGACCATAATATATAATCAGCCTAAGCCATAATATTGGTCAATAAAAATGCACACTTACGTGGCAAAAAGCAATGATATTGTATCCAATCAATTGCTTGATAAACCCAAACAGCACCTTGACTATATAAAAAAGTCAGCGGGGCAGCTATATAAAGCTTTACTGTTTGACACCTTTTAAGATGCATTGTACCAACTCCTAAAAAGTCGAGTAACTGCGGTATAAAAGGATTTTAAGGTATTGGGCACTTGATCACGCGCACTTTGGCCTAAGCGAAAAGTGCCTAAGTCCCTAAAAGAACGTGACAGGCCACACCTGAAAATATAGGCTGCAGACATATTAGGCCTAGGCCAAAAAATACGCCTTCGACACCCTTTAAAGGATGACGCATGTAACATGCTCCCGAGTAATAAATCTTCTGGGTAATATAGACCAAGTGTAGCTCATATGAATAGCTTCTGATCTGAATGATTATCCCTTATGGGATACTCCAAAATAAATATAATAATTGAATCCCGACTGGCGCAAGTATTCGGTTGATAGCCCTTACGGGGAATAATAATTGGTCCAGTCTTTAAGCATAGAAAATAGACTCATGACTATGAATCCATGTGGAATGTATCCGGAACAAGTCCAAATTGAAGGTATGATACTTGTGTTTGAGCTAGTAAGCCCCTGAGCATATAGCTTGTCCTTCTGTCGTAGTCACAATTGTCCATTGATGGTAGCAATCAAAAGTGATGAAGTTGCACAGCCGTGGAGCGAAGAAACCAGTCGGCAGCAGACAAGTCAGCCAACAGTGAAGATGAAGGCATCTAGCAACATCGACAAAATTGAGCAGCCATGGTGGCGAAATAATCAGTCGGTGACAGATGAGGCAGCCGGTGAAGAAGATGAAGATGCCCATTAGTGGCGACATAATAAGCCATCCGTGAAGGCGAGGATACCAGTCGGTGGTGACGAAAGCAAGCCGACGGTGAAGATGTAGACACGTATCAAAGGCAATAACGAAATCCACCAATCATGAAGATGAAGAAAATAGTTGACGACGACAAACGCAACCGACATGATGAAGATGACAATGTTGGTGATCCAGCCAATAGCAGTGTAGCAACCAATGATAATGACAAAGACGCTCATCGGCATTTGCATAGTAGGTCAACCGTGAAGGTGAAATAATAAGTCGGCGAAAACATAATCATCTATTAGCAACAGCGGAGATGTCAGGGCCGATGAAGCAGAGGTGCTGGTGATGATGTCAGTGACAATAATCCATCAAATTAATGTTATAGCTGTTGTAGATGCTTCACTTGGAGGAGAGTTGATGTTGTTGTCCAACTCGTCCAAACCGAAATATTTCAAGTTGTTGAAGTAGAATGTCTGCTCTGAATCAAAGATGAAGATAATGACTCCTGGAGTTGACTCGTTGGTTGATGAATTGATTTCTTCAGCTTGACATAAAATTTGTCAAATTTTGAGCCTTGTATTTGTGTAGCCCCCGACTCTTTGGTTAGTTGGGAAACAACTGAACATAGAGTCGAGAATTATAGCTTCTTGTCGTCGAGTAGTCATTGCTTGATTGAAGATATGTGTTGAAGATGTCCAAGTAGAAATCCTGAATATTGGAGAGCCTCTTGTTGTAGTAAAATAACATGGCATCGCATGCCGAGATGTCGAGGCTCACAAAGACGTCGTGGTTGGTGAAGTAGCAAAACTTGCGAAGTAGCAGCAATAGAGTTTGCCAGTGCCGAAGATAATAAAGATGAAGTCGCTCTACCATGATGACAAAGTTGCATTGCCGTGATGAAGTGAACACGAGTCGTCGGCAACAGAAGCAAACTGGTAGTGAAGACGCGCAGTTGTGAAGATAAAAGCACTAGTCGGCGACAGCATAACCAGTCGGCGACGGAAGACGATGATGTTCATCAGTAGTGGTAGCTGTATAAACCAGATGTAGAGGCGAGGGCACTAGTCAGCAGTAGACGAGACGACCGGCGATGAAGATGGTAAGGCCAATCAACACTGGCAGAATCATGCAGCCATGGAAGTGAAGAAACCAGTCGGCAGCCATGGCAAACGTAGGCAGCTTGTGTTGAAGATACCGATGCCTATTAGTAGTGACGGTGATGTAGCCAGCCGTGAAGAAGATAGCATCAGTTGGCGTTATAACAGGCCAGCCGTGCAGGCGGTGACACCAGTCAGCGGCGGATGCGGCGGCCGGTCGGTGAAGACGTAGACGCCCAACAACGGCAGCATAATAAGTCAGCCGTGCAGGCGGAAGCACCAGTCGGCGGCGGACGAGGCGGCCGGTCGGTGAAGACGTAGACGCCCAACAACGGCAGCATAATAGGCCAGCCGTGCAGGCGGAAACACCAGTCGGCGGCGGTCGAGGCAGCCGGTCGGTGAAGACGTAGACGCCCAACAACGGCGGCATAATAAGTCAGCCGTGCAGGCGGAAACACCAGTCGGCGGCGGCGAAGGCAAGCCGGTCGGTGAAGACGTAGACGCCCAACAACGGCGGCATAATAGGCCAGCCGTGCAGGCGGAAACACCAGTTGGCGGCGGCGAAGGCAAGCCGGTCGGTGAAGACGTAGACGCCCAACAACGGCGGCATAATAGGCCAGCCGTGCAGGCGGAAACACCAGTCGGCGGCGGTCGAGGCGAGCCGGTGGTGGTGTTCTGACTGATCCATTCCTGGAGCGTAAGAGATAAGCTTAAAGCCATGAATCCCTTTTATGCATATCTGGATCTGGATCCTGCAGAACAAACATATAGGATGAGTAGTATCTGATATAAATATAATACTCGAGAAAAAATCAAGTATTTTAAAATATTTATAAATATGTATTTCTCCTCTTGTCAATTTTGATTTCCCCGAGCAGATGACTCTGTACGTTTAAACACTCTGTCTGACTAGTCATAGCCCCCAAGCATCGGGAGTCGGCCTAGGCATTTCCCAAACATGGATATGAGTGACATGAGTTCGTCATTAATGGAACAAAGTTTCACGGATCAGAATTTACTACTCAGGTACTTTTGCAATTATTAAGAGCAGAAAATAAATTATATTATCTCTATGCTTTTGATTTCTTCCGAGTAATACTTAGCACCTTGCGTTACTCGGTCCATCCAACGAGCCCCCGGGTGCTAGGAATCGGCCCAAAGGCAACCATCCATTGGCAAACCAAACGGAAAGCATAGGAAGATAGAACTCCATAACTCGATAGGTACTTTTGTACTCAGATTATGTCGCAAGCAATCAAGATAAATATTATGAAAATTGTTTAAAAAATACGATATAACATCTATAGCCCCCGACTCACTAGTCAACGGCGAACCAGTTGTGGTAGTGAGGCAAAGGAAAAGGCAAAATATCATATAAAGAATAAAATAAATGATGACTTAGCTTTGTCGTATTCCCTCGATGACAGCAAAAGTAGCCGATGTGGGAATAAAGCAGTCCATCAATGGTGACAAAAACACCAGTCGGCGCCAGCGGAACCAAGCCAGTGGTGCAGATGATGAAGCCCATTAACAGCGGCGGAGTCCGCCAACCGTATAGGCAAAAACACCAGTCAGTGGCGGCAGAGGCAGGCCGGCGGTGAAGTCGTAGACGCCCAACAGCGGCGGCATAATAGGCCAGCCGTGTAGGCGGAGGCACCACTCGGCGGTGACGGAGGCAGGCCGGCGGTGAAGTCGTAGACGCCCAACAGCGGCGGCATAATAGGCCAGCCGTGTAGGCGGAGGCACCACTCGGCGGCGACGGAGGCAGGCCGGCGGTGAAGACGTGGACGCCCATGAACGGTGGTGTGACCAACCAACCGTATAGGCGAGGACACCACTCGGCGGTGACGGAGGCAGGCCGGTGGTGAAGTCGTAGACGCCCAACAGCGGCGGCATAATAGGCCAACCGTGTAGGCGGAGGCACCAGTCGGCGGCGACGGAGG